CTTGAACTACCAGTCAAACTAAGTTTAGTCCAGCGCATTAGCCCATAGCACCATACTAGGACTGCAGACCAAATATAGCAGGCTAATTTTTAAATTATTAATTTTGTGTGGCCCACGAATGATGCTATAAATTTTGACAGAAAAATGGTTTCCCACTCCTGCCTTAAACAATTGCTCCCCCTTCCCTCTTCCCTGAAGCCCCTTGGAAAGTATTAATAAACTTGTTTCTATGCATTTGCCTATTCTAGGTTGCACATAAGTTGGATCATACAATATTTGTCCTTGCGTCTCTGACATTTCACTCAGTATAATATTTTTGAAGTCCATTCATATTGTAGTATATATTAGGATCTCATTTCTTTTTTCTTTTTACCAGATAATAATATTCTAATTTATATAGTACCGCATTTTGTTAGCCATTCATTTGTTGATGGACACTTGTGTTGTTTCCTTTAGGACTATTATGAATATTATTACAATTAACATTGGTGTACAGACATCTGTGTGAGTCCCTCCTTTCAACTTTTTGGGTTCATATGGAGGGGTGGAATTGCTGAGTCATATGGTGATTCTGTGTTTAACATTTTGAAGAACCAACCATTTTCCAAAGCGGCTGCACCATTTTCTATCCCCACAGCAATACGGGAGTGTTCCGATTTCTCCATATCCTCACCAGCACTTTCTACTTCCCATTTTCTTGATTGTACTCATCCTTAATAAGTGTAAAATGATGTTGTATTCATATTGTAGCATGCATTTCATTTCTTTTTTATTCTTATGAGAGAATAATATTCTATTTTGCATAGTACCATTTTTATTATCATTGTGGCTTTTCTCTAAAAGACTAATGTTATTGAACATGTGTTCATGTGCCTAATCACATTCATTTACTATAAAGTCTTTTTCCAAATGTCACCTCCTGGCCTTGGCAGATCGTTGGGATTTTATTGTAAATCTCAGACACAAATACTTGGTGCTTAATAGATGATGAAGCTGAGCCACCTGTCTGACTTGTGACTGGATTGAGAACGTGGTGTGGGTTGGGCAAAGCCCTGGTTCTCATAGGACTTCCATGCCAACTTTGGTGACAGACTTGTCGCTCCATGAACTCATAGTTACTTCTTGTGCTTGTGCTGATAACTGGTGAATTGTGTTGCATGTTGATGTGAGATGGACGAGAACCTTTGCACAGAAAATGAGGCTCAATGTCTTCAATATTTCTTCTTGTGTGCCTGAGCAGCCTGTCTTGCCTCAGGAATTTACAGATGGTTGGAACTCTTTGCTTCTGGTTAGTTTGGGATCCTACCCCTGAACAGGAGATATCCATATTGGTGTGGGATCTTGAAAGTACAGGCTGAGCAGGTCTATATCCTGGGTCCAGAGGAGGCTTTCATATACATCAACAGGATGGGTGGGGCACATGCGAATGGGTCTCCTCTCTCTGCTATCCAACATGTCCTTAGTGAATCATGACCGAAAAGCCTTGTGGCAGTTTTGCTTTCAGATGTCATTTGTCTGCTAGCTGGAAAACGGCAGGGCCAGAGCCCTGGAAGATATTTCTGAACTAGCTGCTTAATTGGACCAAACCAGCTTCTCCGCTTGCACAGGGATCATAAGCAGTTCCGTGCTCGGGGAGGGGGTTTCCAGCACAGACTAACCATTCTTGCATTCTTCAACCACAGCCTCAGCATCGGATTTTGAAAAATCCTTCAAAAACTCTACCGGTATTCCGAGTCTGTACTGTTGGCATTTAGCTTTTCTACAGTGTTGTTATTCCAGAGACATTCCAGAAGCCCTCATGCTATTTTTTAATCGTCTCTATCCACCTTATGGAATAGAATATCATGGTTTGGCATTGTAGGATAAACACTGGACTTAAGGTCAGCGGTTCGAAACTACCAGCCGCTCCGCGGGAGAAAGATGAGGCTTTCTACTCCCGTAAAGATTTACACCCTCGGAAACCCTGTACAGGGTCGCTATGGGTCGGACCCGACTCGATGGCACTTAACAACAACAACAAGCTAACCACAAGATCGGAGGTTCAAATCCACCAAGCTACTTCTTAGAAACCCTATGAAGGGTCACTCCCCAGTACTTAACAACAACAACAACAACAAATAGCCACCTTGGAACCAAATTACTCCTCATTTGTCCATTCTGTAGATAAGGGGGAAATACACAGGGAATACATAGTCACTTGCTGCAGTTTCCGGGCCACTCAGCAATAGAAGTAGTGGTAGAACTAGTGTCTCAGGTTTCTAGTCTGTTGTTGTTGTGAAGTGCTGTTGAGCCGGTTCTGACTCATAGCAGCCCTGAATAGGGTTTCCGAAGAGTGTCTGGTGAGCTTGAACTATTGACTTTGCGGTTCAAACTGACCATGCAGTCCAGTGCATGAACCCACCGTGCCACACATCTTCCTGGGAGCAGCACTGCCCTCTTGTCCCTCCTGTGGCTTCCCTTGATGCTGGGTTCTCACAGGTGCTGCAGGAGGTCACCCTGCTGCCTCTTTAGAAAGATTGCATGGTAGGGAGAGTCCCATTGCCAAGGAAATGGGCTTTTAAAAAACACAGTCAGTTCTCATCTTACCTAGTATTTTTTAATGGTTTACACCCATGTACAGCTCTGGTAGCGTAGTGGTTACGAATCGGGCTGCGAACCTTAAGGTCAGCGGTTCGAAACTACCAGCTGCTCCGCGGGAGAAAGATGAGGCTTTCTACTCCCGTAAAGATTTACACCCTCGGAAACCCTGTACAGGGTCGCTATGGGTCGGACCCGACTCAACGGCACTTAACAACAACAACAACAACAGTTTGTTATTGTTTGTTGTTGTGTGCTATTGAATCAGTTCTTACTCATAGCAACACTGTATAGGGTTTCTGAAGAGTGGTTGGTGAGTCTGAACTGCTGACCTTGTGGATAACAGTCGAATGCTTATCCACAGCCCCACACCAGATAACATAGTGTAGTTTAAAAGGAAATAAAACCTTAAGATTTTGAAGTCATCTCAGGATTGTGAAGTCATCTCGATTTAGACTCACAGACCTACTACTGTGCTGACTAAATTCATGTTCTTGGGTTTGTACAAATCTGTGAAGTTGAGAGCCCCAGAACAGTGCTCACACTCGGCACTTTGCAGATACCTGCGCACAAGCACCAAGGCAGTACTCCTAAACTCTGCCAACCTGGAGGCTTGGGGTTGCTGAGGACCTGGATAGTGGCGCCAGGTGTTGTGGTGGGCAGAGGCTGTGTAGCCATGGATTAGCCCTTTGTGGTGTACTGGTATGAACCCTGCCTTTGCAGCAGTCCTCTGCAGTGTTTATCCATTGTTCTTAAATAAACTGTAACACTGTGGAGCTAAGTAAATTGTTCAAGCTCATCCAGCCAGGTTAAAAGTAGGGCTGGGGTTACACCCAAACCTGCCAGGCTGTAGATAACTTACTTCAGAGTTGAGTCCTGGGCCTTCATGTAACTGCCCCGAGGGCCCCGGGCTGTGCTTTGTTGTTATTGTTGTTGTTGAGTGCTGTTGAATCAGTTCTGACTCATAGTGACCCTGTATAGGGTTTCTGAGGAGCAGTTGGTAGCTTGAACCACCAACCTTGGTGGTTGCTGTTGTAGTTGTTGTTGTTTTTAAGTGCCATTGAGTCAGTTCCGACCCATAGCAACCCTGTATAAGGTTTCCAAGGAGTTTCCGGTGAGCTTGAACTACCAACCTGAGGTTCAACCTGACTTTGCAGTCCAGACCTTAACCCACTCCCCACAGAGGAGCTGTCCCAGGCACTAGGATTCTGTTGGTGATTCTGCACTCTCCCCATTCAGATCACTGGCCCCTGAGGTGGCAGTCTTAGCAGAACAGGGGTATGTTGGAATCCAAGCACTTACAGTTCCAAGCATGAGAAGGTACTCAGTGCAGTGCCAGGTGTAAGGACTCCATGGTCAGCAGAGCAGCTCTGGTCCTTTGTGGGCCTCCTAGAGGTGACACTGTACTGACTGCACTTGCCTCTGACCACCTACAAACTCAGCCTCTTTCAATAACTGTGAAATTGTGAATAGTTCTCCAGCCTTATGTTGTGTTCTCACTTCCTCATCTATATTGTGTTGTACTGGGGGATCACAACAATCTGACCTATCTTTTAAGAATGTTGCAGGGATCAAATAAAATGTCATGTCTGGGAAACACTTAGAACAGTCTTTGGTATATAATAAGCATTCTGGAAATGCTAGTGATTCTCATCTGTGTAGGGGGTCATAGGATTTACTTGCCTTGAAGGGTTATCGTGAAAAACAAACACAACATATGTAAACTCTGGCATGTCTTAGGTTTTCGGTTATTGCTACCATTCCTATTGTTAGTGTTGTTATTTCATTGTTATGATTATTCTAGAAAGAAACCCGAGATCCTGCGGGCTCGGTGGCAAGCAGAAGTCGTCAGGCAGGTTTCTCCCTGCATAGCTCAATACAGGAACCAGTGCAGCCTGCTAATGTAGCCTTTGTTCTCTCTCAACTAGGCCAGGGAGCTGGAAAGCATAGAGGCTGAGCTAAGACGCCGTGACACCTTCTATAAGGAGCAACTGGGGCGCATTGAAAGGAAGGTAAGGCTTGTGCTGGGCTGATTTTTTCCAGGGACCGATCCTAAAGGCATCTGACCAGAATTTATCCCCATTGTCCTGAGGGAGAGGAGGAGGGAGCAGCATGCTGGGCAGTGGGCCCTCTTGTACCTTATTCCCCGACCCAACCCATTGATTACATCATGCCCCCTCCTGTATTCCACTGCAAGCACCATCAGCCAAATTGTTCAACAAGTTGTAGTCAGAGATAATTAGTTTTTAATTGGCCTTTTTTTGTTGTTGAATTTGGCTGGCTCTTTTATAGTTCACTTTTAGAGAAAAATCACTTTCACCACAGGGCGGTGCTGAGACCCAACATACCTTCTTCACTGTAGTTAAGCTGCAATGGATAAAAATAATAATAACGTGAGGTCTTGCTATACAAATATATTAAAGTTGTATTATTGATCTTCTCCTGGGAGTTGGAGAGATCAAAGTGCATCTTGCTAAACACTGTCTACTTTTCTGAGGCTAAGGCTTTGAAATGAATGAGATTTAAAGGCACGTCATCATGCCTTTATTTTTTTTTCTCCAAGTCTGCAACGACGCTTGAAAATTCATTTGGTAACCTACTTACCTTTTAAAAAAAATTTTGGTTTAATTTGTTGATCATGACAGAGTTTTCAAAGAAATGGCTTAAAAATGTTGGGAGAAATGGGGAATGATTGGGAGGTTAACAAAAAAGCGTTCTCCTTTATGCCTAAAACAGTATGCCAAGCAACCTGAGCCATCAGCTTATTGCAGGCAGATCTTTGCAAATCATTTGTCACGGTTTAGAGCTTTGAAATTGACAGTTTGCTTGAGGGGCTTGATTTCCATAGAGGTTTTCTCCTGTGGCATGCCACAGTGTAGAAACATGGACTTCTGGATTTCCAGACTGTGGGGACAAGGAGGGGCTATCCTCTGTGGGGTGTTTGGGAGATGAGGAGAGCTGACATGATATGACTACTAAGTGCTAATGGTGACACCTCCTTAAGTCTGGAAGAATGGGCAGTGCACCTCCAAGCTGCTGACAGAATTGGCCCTTCGCAAGCAAATGCTATTTCATGAAGCAGCTTCATGCACAGATTTGACTATAACTTGTAATGACAGGGATTCTGAATCGAGAGCTTGGAAAAAGGGTAAGAAAAACCCACCAGCCATAGCTCTAATTATCACAGTTGCCCATATGTTCATAAGCATGGATTTTTGTTGTTGTTATTATGTGCACAATTTTTTGGTCTCCTGCTGTGCTCTTCTGGGTTTCTCTCTGTATTTGACTCCTAGAAGCATGTGGATGTGTGTGTGTTTGGTGTGGAAGGAAATAGCCTCACAGCATCTTCCCTCCCATAAAATCTACTTTTCCCCTGTCACTCTCTCATTTCTGCTGCTAAAAAACCTGCCCTGCTTTGCTGAAGGAGAGGCAATTCCCCTGGAAGAGTCCCCTCTCTCATCTGCCCTTCTTCCTTGATTCAACACAAAGTGCAGTCCCAACTCCTTATGTATGCAGATACAGGTACTTCATTTACCAGGAGGTTTTCCTACGTGATTGTGAACAGTTATTAAATGCTTAAAACCGTGATCTTCTTTCTCACTCTTAAGCACTAGCGTTTTGCTGGTACTAACGATCATTCTTTTCTTTTTTTTCTTTAAAAAAAAAAAAGAAAGAAAGTGCCTCTGACATCCAGGAAATGGAGATTGGTGAGTGAGATAGGGGGATTGAGGAGTAACCAGAGAAAGAGGGAGAGAGGAGACATGATCATAAAGCCTAATTGCATTCCTTTGGAAAAAGGTTTCCGATCTTCACCGTGGATAATTTTATTCCTATAGTGGCTGAGAGATGGGAAGCACAACATCTGACAATCTTTTTTATTAGCTGTTGCTTTTATATAATTCTGCTTTCATTTGTTGACTACTCCCCGACCTTGACATTTCCAGCTTCTGTACACACGGCTGCAGGACTTTCTAATCATCAAGCTCCTTTCCTTTTTTTTTTTCCATTTCCTTTTTAGCTTAGAAATTGATGGTGGAAACCTGGTTAGGTGGGAACTTGGAACAGCTGCAGCCTCATTCCTGACCACCTGTAACAGCTCAGTGTGGACGGTGAGAGAAGGTTGGGTTGGGGAGGCAGAGGCCTGGCTGAGGCTGTGGGAGGAGGTGCAGTGTGGCCAAGGGCCTCTTGGCTGGAGCTCTTATGCCTGTCCTCCCATAGGGAATTTGTTCTGTAGTGCTGCCTGTTAAACACCCCCCCCCCCCCACACACACACACCGTTTACTGTGACAGGTAGTGGGGAAAGCCTGTACAGAATCCGCATGCATTTTCAAGAGAGAAGAGAAGAGACTTTCTGACCCTTTTGTACTACAGTATTTATTCCTTAGGAGTCCTGGTGTGGGCACTGTAGGATAAGCCATGGAGTGCTAACCAAGAGGTTAGTAGTTCAAATTCACCAGCCGCTCCTCAGAAACCATATGGTGGTTGTGGTGTGCCTTGGATTTTGTTCTGACTCATAGTTACCCTGTATCGGGTTTCTGAGGCTGTAAATTTTTATGGGAGCAGAAAGCCTTATTTTTATCCTGTGGAACAGCTGGTAATTTCGAATTGCTGACTTTGAGGTTAGCAGCCCGACTTCTAACCACTATGCTACCAGAGCTCTTTCAGAAACCCTATACAGGGTTGCTATGAGTCAGAACCAATTCGATGGCACACAATTAGTCTTTAGTGCAGATATCGCATTTTGTAGGACTCCAATACTTAAGAATCTTTCTGAGTAAATATTCCTCATGCCCGCACTGCAAGACCTGAGTAAGAATTGTTTTCTCTTTTTCATCACATTTTTCAAAAATGGTATTTTTCATCACAGACAACAGTGAGCTCCTGAGGAAATAAGATCCTTGTGGAGGGTCTTAAAGCCACTGGACACTGGTTTTGACATATATACTGTTATGTGGAGGATGGAGTTGTTCAGCTAAAAGAGCTTGGGTATCGGATGTAGTCTGGGGGAACCTGGGCTCATGGGTCAACTCTGTGCTCATCATTCTCTGCTACTGCAAGTGACGGGACCCCTTTATATATCAGTTTTGCCATTTGTACAATGGAGCTACCAGTACCTTCTACAGCAAGTTGATGGGGGAATGGAATACGGTGAGATCCCAAGAAGCACTGGTGTCTGCAGGATGCTGCCTCCATCCTCTGGTGTGCAGGGTCATCAGTGGCCCCGAGTTGTGTCACAGTGTCCCAGGCTCAGATCCAAGTGGGGAGTGTGAGTGTTCTCACATGCACACATATGTCCATGTACTGAAATAGATGGCTGTCATTCCAGCGACCTACTCCGGTCTCCTGTCCTCTGGGGGTGAGAGAGCCCTGTGCTTACTCAAAGTGCTTTCCTCTAAGGCCCAGCAGAGTAGAAAATGGGTCCTTGTAAAGTAGTAGGGGGCCATGTGCTGTTCATGCTGGATGTTTCTCACTGCCTGACAGGAGTCGTGTATAAGGTGTTTCCATTTCCTATGTTGAACACAGGCCCAGAAAGGTGAGGTGCTCTCTCACCTGCTATAGTCAGAGCCATAGCTCAGAACCTCGTGCCAATCCTGTACTGGTCTCAGCTGCCACTTTGAGAGTTATTATAGTAGACAAAATAAACAAGAGATTCCACTGTTGAGGGCTAAGGCTGACTCGTACATCTTCCAAATCAGCTGCATTTTTTGCTTTATATTGGAAACCTCAGATGCTGAGTGTCTCTGAAGTAGACACTAAACAAGTCCACTGAATGGATTGCTTTGGCTAGCCAAGAACTTTTCTAGTACAATTGGCCATGAAGTCAATTGGGTGGTGGGCATGAGTGGGCTTTGAAGTCAAGCAGACTTCAGTCCTAGTTGTGGCCAATAATTGGCAGCCTTGTGACTATGAGTGGGTTGTTTACATTCTTGCCTTCCTTTCTTGACTTTGAAATGGGGCTTTTCAGACTAACTTACCAATTGTTTTTGGAATTAATGGTATTTTTACATAAAGCAACCACTAGAGAACCTGACATAAATGTTTTCTGTTCTATTGTATGTTATTTATCCTTTTCTTTCTTCTTTAATAAAATGCATGTTCATTCATTAATTTCGCATTCGTTCTGCAGGACCAACCAGTGTTTTGTTCTGTTGTATATAGGGTCTCTGACAAACTGTGGGCAGCATTGAAGAGAACATTTAACTGTGCTCATGAGAAACCTGTACATAGACCAAGAGGCAGTTGTTCAAATGGAACAAGGGAACACTGAATGGTTTCGTATTAGGAAAGGTGTACACCAGGGTTGTAGTCTTTTACCATGCTTATTCAAGCTGTATGCTTAGCAAATAATCTGAGAAACTGGATTAGATGAAGAAAAACATGGCATCAGGATAGGAAGAAGGCTCACTAACAACCTGCAATATGCAGATGATACAACCTTGCTTGCTGAAAACCAAGAGGACTTAGAATACTTGTTGATGAAGATCAAAGACCACAGCCTTTGGTATGGGTTGCACCTCAATGTAAAGAAAACAAAAATCCTCACCACTGGACCAATAAATAACATCCATATAGATGGAGAAAAAATTGAAGTTGTCAATGACTTCATTTTGCTTAGATCAACCATCAACACTCATGGAAGCAGCAGTCAAGAAATCAAACAACATATTGCATTAGGCAAATCTGCTGCATAAGGCCTCTTTAAAGTGTTGAGGAACAAAGATGTCAGTTTGAGGATTGTGGTGTGCCTGACCCAAACCATGGTATTTTCAATAACTTCATGTACATACAAAAGTTGGACAATGAATAAGGAAGACAATAGAAGAATATGGTGTTAGAGGAGAATATTGAAAGTGCCATGGGCTGCCAAAAGAGCAAATCAATGTATGTTGGAAGAAGTACAGCCAGAATGCTCCTTGGAAGGCAGGATGGCCAAACTTCGTCTCTCATACTTTGGACTTATTGTCAGGAGACACCAGCCCCTGGAGAATACCATGTTTGGTAAAATGAAGGG